GGGGAATCGATTCTACGAAAGCAAACGGGGTAACGACGACTTCCGCTCCGCAGCGAGCCTGCCGCCGCCCGGACCCAGAAGACGCGGGCGGGCGTGCACGCGCGGACGCAGCCGTCGTATGCGCGCGCAACCGGAAATCGCGCGGCGGACAGAGACCGGGGAGGGTAAAAAAGAGTTGACACGGTTCGACACCGAGAACATCGTGCGCGCTTTGGCTACGAACCACGGTTCTATACTACAGTTAACCTTTTAACGCCCAGATAGGTAAATCATTATTACAAAACTGTGAGACTAATATATACAGGGGGTCCCAAAATAGCTTCGACTCCCGGAAATGAAGGGTTCTTCAGATGATTTGAAACAAGTTCTTTCTTAGAAAAATTGTTATCCGAGGCTTTGTTAACGAGATATTAACGAAAAACTTCAATCAATCAGAGCGCTAGTCTGCCGGCCGAGTTCCTGTGGTAACGTTGGCTACACGCTGCGATTGGTAGACATATTATATCTATAATACCGGTATCTTCGGTTGTACCTTCGCCTTATACAAGCCCTACCCTTATGGAAACCGAAATAATACCAGTATTTATTTTGGTTTTCGATAATATATCGGTTTCAGTATAGCTTTGATGGCATAATACCGGTATCAAAATCATACCGGTTTAATCTAATCTATTCGCATCGATAGAATCACGTTACGTCATATTAAAAGAAATACTTAGTCACCAGTGATGACCATTAAGTCGTCGAACGTCCTGTTAACGCAAGATCAGAAATAGGAACAGGCTGGAACGGACGGAGGATTCGAATTCGGTTTAACCCGATCCACATACAGCCCGATGGATCTGCTACGGCAGCAGGCCCATTTCTGGGATCCCATTTAAAGTATTACGAAGCGGCCGATCGATTCGTAGTCGATATCCAAACCGGAAGACGGAAAAGAAAGAGGCGATGTGTGGCGAGGCGAGGCGAGGCGGGACGGGACGGGGGGAAGGAGTGGGAGAGGAGTGGAAAGGAGAAGCAAGAAAGGAACGGAGGTTCTGCGAAGAGCGGAAGTCGATGGTGGACGGCTGATCGCTGCCGGATGTGCATCTTCCTTTTTCGACCAGAGTCTCGCATACTAATAAGGATCGTTTCCGTCTCGCTCGACACTGATTTTGATGAAATTGCGAAGCTTTGCGAACCACAAGACCAAGACCAGTCGGGGAACAAGACGCGTATACACCGGTGTATATCTGCGGCTCGTTGCTGGAATTTCATCAAGGTCCGGGACCACCTGTCCCGACGAATTCCTTCGAAGCAGCTGCTTCTTCGACCGTTCGATCGTTTCCATCGATGGTCGTTTGCTTTTCGTCCTGCTTCGTCCTCGCGGAACGGAACATTTTTCGCCGTTACAATCGGAGTGGAAACGATGATAGGTGGTCTGGGGTTAGTTAGCTTCTTTGATAAAAGAAATTTCGCGCCATTATGATGACGGAAGGGTATTTGTAAATAGTATACTAGATAGATGATTCATAATTATTGATACACTCCACATTGTCGGTGACGTGATATTTATGAATCACCCTAATATTCAGTGGAAAGGGTATAGCGTGAGTTGGGTGATTCCTTGTGGAAAATTTCTCGCTATTATAGTCGAAACGATAAAGCATGGTCGAGGTGCCTCTTGTGAAAAACAATTATCGCCATTGTAGTCGGTGGAGAAGATATATAGCGTGCCCTAGGTTAGGTTTTAACTTTTAACAATAGTTTGTAACTATTGTTATATTTAGTGGAATATGTAGGTACGTAGCCATGGTCTTGCTCAAGTTTAGGTTAGGTCCTTGATTTCCAGAGGACATCTGCCACTATTATACTCGATGGAAAGGATGCAGCGTAATCTTGGATAGGTTCGAGTTACGTGTATTCCTCGTGGAAGAAGATTCGGCGTTCTTCCAGTCAACGGAAGCTTTGGGAACTTGTTTTAATTTTCATTAACGAGCGAAAAGAATGGAACGCGAACAGAAGGCTGATTACACAAGGGGTTAGGCACAAAGCTCGATGACTCAAGGAGCGTCTGAATTACGTATTTACCCATTTATAACTTTCAATAAGGAAATGAGGTCAGCACTGCGTCCTCTAACGATCGTGAGTTTCGAGAACTCGAAATTGACATCACTGGCCGTGAGTCAGTTCTACTTTGGATTTCAACAAATTAGAGCTCGAAGCATAGAACTCGATGGATGAAAAGAAAAAAACATTTCAATATAGGTACTCCAAGATTAATCGTCGTCTATCTCCATCCACGAGGTATTTCCATGACCGAAAGGAACCACTGCAGTCTAAAGTCGATTTTTATTATGTCCTCGGTTATTATACTCCGGTCACGAAAATATTTCGTAGATCCATTAATCGAAGGTAAGTATCCGCCCCCGAAGCAATTGACATTCGTTTCGGGGAAAACGAGAAGCGTTATGCCAGGCCGTGAGTTTATCGTGTCAAAGAAGAGAAAAAGGCTTACCTTGCTGACGATGAAATCTTTCTCGTCGAAGTGACGGCCGAACATTTTCGGCGCCTCCCCAGGTATCGGCTCGATCTTCACGCAGACCTCCTGGCCCTTTCTCGCCGTTTCCACGGATTTGTGATTGTATTCTATACTGGTGACCATGCCCAACTCGACGAACTGTAACAGACAGATAAAATCGATTCGATTAATTTCAATGTTCGAGTGTCACGTTACACAGTAACAATTATGTTCCTTTGTATCTATGGGTTAATTTACAAGAACTGGAGTCAAAGAAAATCTCGTTTATTTTATTTACTGTTCCACCTGGTTCGTCTAAACCTAACCTAGAAAACGCTAGGGGTCCTTTCCACTAACTATAACAGCGACGAATGTCCTTTAGAGACGAAGGACCTAACCTAAACCCGAGTAAGACTATGCTATAACATTTTTGGCAAGTATAATAGTTTGAAATGTCCTTTCGCGAGGAATCACCTAACAGAAAACTAACCTAGAAAACGCTGGGGGTCCTTTCCACTAACTATAACAGCGACAAATGTCCTTTAGAGATGTAGGGCCTAACCTAAACCCGAGTAAGACTATGCTATAACATTTTTGGCAAGTATAATAGTTTGAAATGTCCTTTCGCGAGGAATCACCTAACAGAAAACTAACCTAGAAAACGCTAGGGGTCCTTTCCACTGACTATAAGAACGACAAATGTCCTTTGGAGAGAAAGGACCTAACCTAAATCCGAGTAAAACTATGCTATAACATTTTTGGCAAGTATAATAGTTTGAAATGTCCTTTCGCGAGGAATCACCTAACAGAAAACTAACCTAGAAAACGCTAGGGGTCCTTTCCACTGACTATAAGAACGACAAATGTCCTTTAGAGACGAAGGACTTAACCTAAACCCGAGTAAAACTATGCTATAACATTTTTGGCAAGTATAATAGTTTGAAATGTCCTTTCGCGAGGAATCACCTAACAGAAAACTAACCTAGAAAACGCTAGGGATCCAAATTCATCGAAACAAAATTCCCGTTGTGTTCACCCGTTCCGCGGGGCCTCGCCCGGTTGGTCTTTTGCCCCGTGTCCACAATGCGCGGCGTTGTGTCTCGTTCGCGTGGGTATAGAGCTCCGCCTATGCATTCCTCTTCGCGACCGGAAGTCGAGAGAAAACCGAGTGGTACCTGAGCATTGCGCGTGTCGTCGTCGTCGTCAGGGCCGAGACACACGGTACGGCCACTTGGGGGCACACGGGCGTATAATACGTTTTGCGCGGCGAACCACCGAGAGCATATATCGAGTAGGCAGCAGCAGACATATAGTACAGCGACACGTAGGCCGCTGGATCCAGTGGGCCGGCAGTACACGGAGTGGCCTCCGTGTTTTCACCAAGATTTTACACATTAGGGATGTTCGATTCCGAGGCAATTCTAGGGAAGATCGATTCCCTTGGGTTACACGTCACTGCTTTCTATTAGGTGTATACATTAATTCGTGGCTTTCTTGTCACAGATTTGTTGTTTATTTACTAACTTAAGGGGTTCAAAAAATATTTTTAAGAATAGAGAAAAAACGATTTTTCCCTATTTTTTACTATTCTAGTGCTTATCGAAGAAAGATACACTGCTACGTCAACCGCTCTAAGGTTTTGTTTCTGAAAAGACGTACTACGTACTTCGACATCAAAGTGTTAAGATCGACCCGATAGGCCGTGTCGTTCCTTTAATTTCAGTAGATTTGAACGGTGTTCACGGACAAGAGGAACACCCTGTAGAAACGGACATAACAGCGGCAAGAAAGCTCGAGCATGTCGTTTAGAAGGCTTGTTATTGCCGTAACACACCTGCAGCTGCGAGAGACCGCCGCCAAGTGGGCGACAAACCCGGACGCGAGAGAGGGTTCCCTCGGAGACACGCATAGATTGCCACTTATCTTTCGAAAGCACGCCCGTAATTATGGGTAATTAGCCGTTAGACTGTTCGGGGGACTCGTTCGAGGTTTTCGTTGATGAAACTAATTACGGTGTGATCCTCGCTGGGAGAAGGGCAGCAGCGGTTTTCTAACAGGGCTCTCGTTTGGGAGAAGTAACGATCGTGATACCGGGCGGTCTTGACCACGGAATTCTTTCCTTTCGTAAATAGGATCGAGATCAAACGAAATCTGTCTGGATGAAATTCGAACCACACTGGGCCAGAGAATTTAAGTGAACACTGTGTCGAAAGGGTGACACGGGGTGTCGTCGAACAAATGTTGCCTTTCACCGGTCGGAAATGAATGGGTCTGGAAAAATGTTGGCTGGAGTATGCAACTAAATGAATAATCAATTAACTGACACAGCCTAACATATTTTCCACAGCATGAACCTATTTTGTAGTTATAAAATGCAAAATTGAAAAAAATAGTGACACTTTTTTAAAAATAGGCGGCTTGGTTCAAGTAAAAAGTGGTAAGAAATATGATTAATTGATATATATCGTATGATTCATACTGTGAAGAAGATGTTAAAAAATATGTACATGGAATGCCGGGTCAATTGGTCGAATATTCTTTGAATTACATACCCCGGCACGGAATCCTTTTTTTTACTCAGGTGCTGCATATAAGTCCTTATAACATTAATATTTACGAATTTCTCGTGAAAATAAAATTGTTTGTATTCATGTTAATTATACAATAAACTATGGTAAAAGTTTCAAACAGGCTGGTTGATAATTTCTTCCCAAGAAATTCCCAAAAATTCATTGATTTTTAGCCCGTTTACATCAGGCTTCCTCCTTAATGTTCAGTGTCGAAGGGCCTTCGACCACTCATCGAGGATTTACTGTGTAACGAAAGTTTCAGGAAATCGCGAAGCTGCCCCGTTTTCGCGACGAACAGGACACGGCAGAGTCAGGCATACCACACGCGAGCGCAGAGAGATCTGTGTGTCGATCGATGGACAATGACCGGTCGAATATGCCGTGTGTGTTTCGAAACCCACGCCGAAAGAGGAATATGCCCACACGCGGCCAATCGTGGTCGTCGTTCCGAGACGACACAGCGGCAGCTCGTCGTCCCCTCGCGCCTGTTTCCTCGTCGCCAAGCGTGAACCCTTCCAGATTCCTCTTCGCCTCGTTACTTTTATGGTGCTGCGATCGTTCGATTTTCGACACTCTCTCCCCGCCGTTCCACCGTACAACATTACCATATACATACAGTGAGTAACTTTAATATTCGGTAAGTAACTTTTACATTTCAGACACGCCATACTTGGTACGTTTCTATTTCAACATTAGAACTACCGACGATAAATGCATATTTGCTTCGACCGCTGGATAAACGTGGAATACTTTTGAAAATTTAGAAATTTAGAAATTGACTAATTTCTTCACTCTCATATCATAATAAAAGGTGCAAATGATCTGAGGAAATGTATTGTCGTAACATTTTAATCGTCGTTGTAAGAGTGTAATTGACCAGTCATTTTTTTTCAGAAAGTTTTAGGGTGGTTCCATAGTTATGCCACGCACTGTATAACTCGTTCGCTACCAGGGTCTCATGGGAAAAACGTCCACTAGAGCCCATGATTTTTTTCGGGATTATCTGACACCAATTGGAATAGATTTTACGTATATATATTTATAACATTCTAGAAAAGGGAAATAAACATTCGTTTAAGCTGGCACATTCGTTATATATTTCACCGTTTTAGAACTTAACGTGTCTTCATAAATTGACCAGAAATGTCTGTCACATATATGTGACAACGGGCTCTGGATAACATACCGATGTGTCACACATATGTGACGGCTGGTAGCGAACGAGATAATATAGACGCCCGTAGTTTCACCCCCTTTAAAACGTGTTTTGGCAAGAACAAAAAAAAGTGTTCAATAGTTTGAAATTCCCTACAAAATCATGCCGTGTCAAACCAAAAATACAAAAATAATAAAATTTCCCTCTGGGTATGTTTCCTTATTTTAAATTCACGATCAAAGAAGCGGTTTTCAACGCCGACTTCCGACATTTTCACCCCTTTTCGTTCACAGTCGGTCCGCCGTCGTTCGTTCGTTCGTTTCGTATTTTCTCCTAAATGTTTGCTCGGCCCGCTCGTTATCTCTCTGCGCTCTCGGTGGTGTATCGTGTGGCGATACGCGCCTGTGATACCGGCGACGACAGGACCGGTAGCGAACTGCGCCGCTGATTAATACCGACGTTTGTCGCCCGATATATCCGGTGATTAGCGTCGCTCTTCCCGTCCGGAAGCGACCGCTCCAGCACGGGTGCATAAAAGTATTCGCTTCCTGCATTAATTAGGCTCTCAAAGGGAACTATATTAAGCTCTCAAGATATAGCCGTCGTCGTGGAAAAAAGAAAAAAAAATCGATCGAGACACCGTACCGATGATCCCGTGACGAACGATCCGTGTCGAATGAGTAAAAAAAAAGAAAATTTCTTTCTTTCGTAGAAAATCAAAGTTTCGAACTTATAGAATCTCTTATCCGAACAGATTTGTCTCTCTGGTCAGTGCACTTACGCCACTTTTGCCCTTAGCGGAAGCAGAGTTTGCTCGCGAGGGTATCAGAAGAAACGAAATGTGAACCAATGACAGAAGCGAAGATCGTGGCAACCGAGACCAAAACGGTTTGTGCCGCACGTAACTAGGAGAAGGAGGAGCGCAAAATTTATGTTGATTTAACAGCCAGGATTTATCAGTAATTACCGACGTTTTCCTCTCCCAGAGACGAACGAACGAACGTTCGCGCGTCGTCCTCGAGCGGGCTGGCGATTAACCTCGATGCCGCAGCACGATTACGCCCGATACGAGATCTCGATCGCGAGACCGAACCGCTAAACAAGTTGCCTCTCGATCTCACCAGATCCCATCGGTTGTTACGAGGAGAAGGAGCAGAGGGAGGGGGGTAAAAAAAATGGAAGAAACTGATTACCTTCGACGACCAGTTGCCCACCGAGCCTCGTCGATTATTACGCTTGTCGTTTTAAATAGAGAAACGAAACCGCGATCTCTGTACGTATACCGATCGTGAGACTGGAAATCGTACCTTGTCGTCTCTCACGAATTCTGTCTCTCAAACGATGGTCTATTCGCAATTATTACTAGTCTGCAGATCTTTGTGCGAGTTTTTTTTTAGCCTTGGAGACAGATTTTGAAATTTTTGTTACGCGTG